ACATAACATAATAAATTAAGCTGTACATGGCACAGCTTAATTTAAGATATAATAAGATAAGATAAGCTATATTAAAGATACTAAATAGAAAGTTATTTATTTGTATTAGAGGAATGCTCACTGACTATGCTCAATGATTACACTGAAGTGAATTAAATGTGATTGAAAAAAATACCTAAGGTCTAATATCTACTGTTATACTAACAATTCAGTGCATACTCGTAGGTACCTATTAAAATATGTAGTTAAATTACTACGTGAAGACAACTAAAAATAACTAATTTAAAAATAGCTTTTGATGGTTAACTTTGTCGTCTCCAAATAGAATTGAATTTACGTTGACGTTGAAGTTCGCTGAACTGCAAAGAATTCCTAATTATATATTTATAATGAAATCCGTAGTTTGTTACTTCAAATAAGAATACAATATAGTTTAAAAAAGTTTGTCTGTATATTTCTTAAGTGCTATAAAATCCTTTTGTACAACATGGTTTATGGATGATCATACATGACCTACAAAGAAGATCGACGCCATTAATGCTATTAAAATAACCATACGAGCATCATCACAAAAACGTCATCATCATGGAACATATTCTAATTTAAATAATACATCAGCATGTATCTGCTTTTTATATTTTATCGGTGACTAGCACGAACGAAACGACATACAAATACATGATATATTATTTATAATAATTTGATAACTAATGTGTTTAAAATTTTGAGGACTACATACACATATCGATGTCTCTTGTGTAATAAGATGATAATAGGCACCAAAATACGTATATATATATTTATATATGTATCTAGTCATATTAATATAACTTTACAATATTATTTAAAAGTCTCATATTGACATCGCAGACACCAATTTTCTCTGAATAGTATGTAGAGTAAATTCCCATATTTACTCTTTTATTTATGAGCAAGATTCTGTTTTATGTATTATTATTTATATTGTTTGTACAGGTTTATGGGCAGGTGGGGGACATATAGGGATAGCTATACCATCAAAAATGATGTGTCAACCACTCGAGCAGTTAAGGCACTGCAAGAGATAGCAATGCAATTGTCAAATTACTAGGTATTCTTCAAATGTTTCGATGCCGTCGTTTCCTCTTAATTCTACCTTCTTATCGCTTACATAACTCGTATCATCCTCACGTCCATGCATTCCTAATATAACCCATTCTGTAATGTAGGTCATTTCTCCTGTTTTGTTGCTAAATTGAACAGAAAAGGGTAACACAATTTGCTTTAAGTGGATGATTGACGTAAACGATAATATGAAGTGGTCATTCAGACCATTAGCAATTACTGCCGTTTGCAAACTTGTATCTCACTTGTATTGCCCTGTTGTATTTGGTAGTATTTATTTAATGATTAGTAATTGTTTAGATTTTTGAGTAGGCAGATCTACGAACGTCTTGCTATTTCTCTGAATACTCACAATAGTTTTCCTGTATTTATCAGACAAAAGTTATGATCATATTTTCCTTTTACATATAATTAATCACCAATGCTAATTGTAAAGACGTTCCTCGGCCGAGTTCTAGATCTGGTAAATGAAAATATTAATGCTTTACTTTTCTTGATAGGTAGGTAATACTAGTATATGTGTGTTATATTGATTAAATAAATATTGTATCTCTTGATATTACATGTAAAACATTAATTCAATTATTATATATTTCATATACAATAATATTAAACATTTATTTCTAACTTAAGTTATATACTAATACTAATTTATTGTGACATTTAGTTTAACGTTTTAAAAATCATGAAAAGAGAAAAATATTTACGCAGGATACTGGTATGTTGTCTTTATGCATCCCAGTATCCTTGCATAAATATTTTATATCTCTATTAGGTACATATCTTATCAAATTCTAATATAAATTGTATAACGATATCAAACAGTATGAAAATCAGTACAAATCCGATAGCTCTGATAAACAAGTTATATGTAAATTACGTTTTTAGCGCAGTAATGTGTGTGATGTCCTGGTATCGGTCACATAATTATTGATTTAAACGAGGTCCCATCTGTGTCAACAGAAATTGCATGACGTAAAATCTGCGTCTTTAATGCCTACCTACTCTACTTCGGTACTAAAAATCGTAAATAAGTATATAGATATATATACATGAATAAGTCTACATGTCACGATATACAGTATTCAAGATTTATTATTTTTATAGTAGTACCTATTGTGTTTTATTTCACTCTTAATTTTGGCTACTGGAAGGAAAATAGTAGACAAGAGATAATATCTATATAATGCAGCTTGTTCTCTTTTCATACAAATCGTGTTATTATGATTTTCTATATTAACAAATTAACTTACTTTGACGGCTTCGGTGGTCTAGCGGTTTAACACAGCATTTTTCGTCCGATGGTCGCGGGATCGATTCTTTGCGCGGTACAAACATTTGTATTTGTACGATTGTTTGTATTAGTCTTTGTATATTATGTATGTACATATTTCCAAAAAAATAACGTATCTATGAATTTATATCACTTTTCTAGTACCCATATAATAAGGTCTGCTTAGCTTGGCACTAGATGGCGCTATGTGAATTTAGTTATTTATTTATTTTATTAATCATAAAATTTGTTTCATAGACTAAGGTAACTAATATTTTTAGTAGTTTACACTACTCAGATTTTATTTAAACCGGTTTGCTTTAGAATTACCCGGAATTGAAAAACTTGATTTTCACCAAAAAAGAACCTATTTTTAGCTCATTCATACAAACAAGCCGAGCCGGTATAAACATTTTAATAAATATGCCAGATATTTAAATTTAAATTTATTTTCAGAATATATACCTTTATATGTAGTGTGTTAAGAGCGTGAAAATATTGTTATCGCACTTGGGTGAAGGGAGGCGCAAGGTCTCTGAATAGAGATAGATCGAATACTGAAGAGCACATCGTAATTGTATTGTGTGTACTCCTTGCTCTTAGCCCATAAGAACTCGATCCTGAGGATCTGACAACTGTGCAGAGGCGATTATTAGTAACGCATCTTGTTGACAATTTTGAGATAATTACAAGTTTAGAAGAACACCCTTCAGTAAATAACCTCAAAAAGATCAACAAAACATAATAATTTGCAAAATCACAACATACAAATAGAAATATATATTTATTCATTTACGTATGTATATAACTATAATATATATGAACACATTATACAATTAAAACTTTGGCCGTATCAAATATTGTATTACGTATTATACCTATTATTTGCTAACAATCAATCATAATTAACACAATACGAGATTGCGAGAACAATTATTCTAATGTGCCTCTGCAGTCTTCTTATGCCAACCTTACAGCATATACTTAGAGAAAGCGAGTTTTTAGGTAGGTAATTGTACATTTATCAGAGAAGTCATTGTAGATCAACCATTGATTTATCAATAAAATCCGCTTTTGCATTGTCACTAAGCAACTCATGTTTATCGTGTATAAATAATTTACATTAGGATAAAAAAACAAGATTAAATAATGTTGTATTTTCCTAAATGGTTTAATTAATATGTGGAATGCCAGTCTAGTCTATACTTATATTATAAAGAAGTAACATTGTAGGTAATTTTTCATGTTTATAGAATATATACGGATACCTCTGAATACACGCATCCTATTTAAAAAATATTTGTAAATGAATACAAATATTTTATACCCACCTGAATTTTTTGTGTATTTTAGTGTTGTGTAATCTATTTGTCCTATTTGAGCTGTAGATGGGCACTACAAATAATCACATTATCCTTACTAATTTATTTGGTATTAAAGATTTCAGGTATAGGTTATAAATTACATCAATAATAGATTTTATTTTTATTTATGTAAATTACGTGTGAAGAATACTGTTTGAGATAATTATCCGCTTCACACTGGATAGCTAAAAATGAACTTAATTAATATTAAATGTGGGTGTTGGTATGTAAGTAGATACCTACACAGTGTAAGTCTAATATCTGACTGATCGAGTACAAAGTGGTAAAATGTGGAGGTCGCCAGGCCGCTACGACTAGCGGGTTATCAAGTTGAATCACCTTTATTGTATACGATGACCACATAATTATGTTAATTATACTTAGAATCTTTTATGTTGAGAATAATTCATTATCTTTTTTAAATTTCTATTTAATACCGTCTATTCAATAAAAATTTTTATCGTCTGTTAGTATTATAGATACCTATTTATTTCTTATACATAATTATCATGTGTTATATACGTATACAATTACATGCATTCTCTGTCAATATCAATCAATAAACATATCATACATATAAACAATAAACTAATAAATAAAACATTTCAGTAATCCTATAATTAGCAAAGAAGTCAATTAAAACCTAATTATACGACAAACAGCATAAACTGTTAGATAAAACTGCACGAATATGAAATTATTCATGTTTTAATTATGAAGGTAACTAAAGAATATATTTTTGAATTTCCATATTATCCCTATTATCGCACATATTTTAATACAGTATTTCTTTTTTTTTATTGGTATATGGTTCTGCTGTAAAATATATACAGACTTTTTTTGTGTTGTAGATATGGTAAATCAATAATTTTATATTTTTATAATACATCTTCTTCTTCTTCGTACTTTTTTACATTTTCACGTAATAAATAAGAGATTTTAAATTGTTGCCATAACCCTGTTTATACCATTAAACAAAAGCAAGTGGTTATTTGAATGATACTAAATAGGTCAGTGTCGTGACACTGGGACATGTCCCACCTATATAAATCGATCTTTTTCTACTCTTACTAGTTATTTTAATTATATTTTTTGTACAGTAGTGTACAAAAAACTTAATACAAATATTAATTTACTTATTTTATTAATAACTGCTATTTGGCATACATAATTATATAAATTAAAATCCGTAGTGTGTTAGTCTTAAGTGTTTTGGAATAAAAATGTATGCTTACACTGCTATTTCTATATCTTTTCAGGAGATTTTGGGCGGTATCAATGCTTCCAGTTTAGTCTGCATATACTCGCCGCATTGACTGCTGGCATGCATATGCTCTCCTTGGTAACAGTTGCTGCCGTACCGGAACATAGGTTAGTAATGAAAATATATACATAATTTGAAATAATGTAACGATTATAACGAAACAGCGGCGTTTCAATACTAACTCAAAAATCCACGGATGTCTACTTAATCAATAGATTTACATCATGATGAAAAACTTATTGCAATATTCAGGATCTACCTACCGATAATTATATAAGAGTATTGTAGTGTTGCTGTTTCGGATTATATGTTATACGCTATATTTAACAGAATGTTTCAAATAAGTTTTGTACATATTATATTTTTTAATGATATAACAACAACTACAGTTAACGCCACTGTATTAATTCAATAGCACCTCCTTATTAGTAACAGTTAAATAATATTAATTCATAATAAAGTATATAATTATACTATGAATTTATTTACTTATGTAGAGTGGCGCTATCTATTATATTATAGTTCTTTACTATGCGCTTGTACTTAGGATGTGGTATTATCTATATTATAGTATCTGTGTGGTTATATGCACTAATTATTGTATATTATTTATACAAAGTTTCATCGTCGTAGTCTTAATAACTAATACTGTTTATTATTTTTATTTTAAATTTAATAACTATACATTTTTAATATTATGTTTTTACGATATAATCTTGCCTAGTATCCTAGTGCACATTTTATATTAAATCAGTAATACAAAATTCATGCAAAATATCTGCTTTCTAATTTATTCATTATATTGTCTTATACCCCAAATAATCGGATAAAGGCAAGGCAATGGTGATGAATCTGATGATGAATGGTCTTAGAATGTATTCAATATTTTAATACATATTTTGCAATATATAGTAAGCACAAATAAATAGACACAGTAACTATATAATATTATTTTATACTCGTATCATATATGTATATATAATGAACTATATTATGTTATATATATATCTAGTGTATAATAAAAACGCATCATATAGGTATGGCATGCATGAAATTTGGTTACTCTTGAGCTTAAAGCTATAGTGGTATACGATTTATAATTAATCTAAATAAAGATATATAGAAAATTAGTAATGAATAGATTGCATATCTCAAATTAGTTAGTTAGACCCTACCTAAATCTAATTTTTTACGAGGTATAAATGCATGAAATTCTTATAATGTCTATTAAAAAAATACAAGAACTTTTTATATAGTACAAAGTATTTAGTCAATCAAAATTAAGTTTCTTTAAAAATATACTGCCCTATACTGTATATACCAAATAGTATAACACTACTAAAACGTAAATGTACTAGATACAAGTATGCAGTTTTATACTAAACCACAACAACGCAAAATGCGGTTATTAATAAATTAACTATTCAAGTACAATGCCTATGTAAGTTATAATACATGGGAGTTCTAACTATAGGTGTACCTGTCTATGTGTTTGATTACATTAATAAAACTCATATGTCGATCATTTCGTGCAGATTTATTTTATTGTAGTTAACTCTTTAATTTATTTATTGAATAAATATTATATACAACTATTTACCTTTATCACCTTAACGATTTATTTTTTTAGCAATAATTAAAGAAATAAATCTTCAAAGTGATAAAGAAATATATTTGTATTAAGTTTGTATTTCAACACTTAAAATATCAAGTCCTAGGATTTGAATAGGTATATGAATGGAATAAAGACTTAATTCTACATAGACGTATTGTCAACTACTCGATAATTATCTATATCTAATTGTTGATATCTATCACTTTTTAGTCTAGTTGTAAATTAAAAATTACATTCAGTCATGTACATGATAAAACTTTAAAGTTAATAAGATTCGCGCATATACGTAGATCTTGCATAGGCCTGTAGTATTTTGATCAAGTCTAGTCTAGTGTATCATATGTATAATTTACATTTAGAAATATAGTTACACAAATTGCTGGTAATGGTATTCTTTCTTTAGGTGTCTATCGCTGTATTAAAGTTTTTATAGCATAAAATTAAGTACCTATGTTTAATCTGTTTTTAAGTGGCATTTAATAAACAATGTTGGTTGATTTTACTATTGAAAACGTGTAAAAAATGAACTAATAGCCATCATGAAAAGATTTTTATGTTTACCGATTATACACTATTGTATAATATTACAATTATATTATTTCTCCGTATCATGTTTTATTGACTAATACTGATAAAATATATACCAATATTGTTTATTACATTTGTTACCTAAAAACTGATTGTATTTATTAATTGAATCTAATTCGTTTCGATAAATGGCGTACCTTTTTGGTTTTATAACTTTTGTTTTTAGTACTTTTATTTTCAATTTTGAATAAGTGGTCTGGGCGTAATAACATAATGCTATGGTTGGTTATAGAGTGTACAGTTTTGCTTGTTTCGGGTACAAGGGTAAATAATTGACACAGCTTTGGTCAATATCCCAGCCTGACACAAATCGACTGTGATGTTTTCGGTGCTTCTTCATGGGTTAATGAACGTAAGTATTTTTGTAAGATACTTCTAATAGTATATTTTATTATTTATCTGATGCCACTTACTCATTGCTTATAAAATATATTTTTTAAACTGGATTGGAACTATTGAAATTTGCTTAAATAATGTATCTAGGTACCTTGTAATAGGTAACAAGTATGTAGAATACGTACTTGTTACCTATTTTCAAGGTTTTGGTATATTTCACCTTATCTACTACCAGAAATAAGCGCAACTAACTACTGAGTTCGCTATAATAATTCCCATTTATACTTAGGTATGCACATAAATATTTAATTTTATAAATTATTTAGTTTTTTTAACATCAGTCAGTTAGTCATAAAATATCTACCATATTATATTCTAGTATTATATTTATTTATTAGTAATAAAAATTACATATACATTATTTGGAATACATATCACAATATTTTTGCATATACATATAATAATTATAACAATATCCTTCAAATAATTAAATTTGCATGACCGTGTATAAATTTTTTAAACAGCATTGCATGGGAAAATTTTAGAAGATAGCACCCGTAACCCAAATTTAACTTCTTACACCATAGATATCCTCGGAATGACGGTGCCTATTAACGTATAAAACACATAAATAGATGTATAAGATCTCTTGTGAAGTAACAAATTATCACTTTTATTAGAATCACTAAACTTTTCACAAGTCCTACATTTCATTACAAAATCCTTAATATCATTTGATTAGATCAACGTTTTCGATTCCAAATTCGTCTTTCTTTAAATCTAGCTAAGTAGATTATGACTATGTAAAAAATTAAGAAGGAATAGTCTAATCACACAAATTCATTATTGTACTAATGAATTTGTGTGATTAGACTATGTGAAATATTTGCTAATTTGTCCTTTTCAAAGCGCGTGCCATGTCATAGCAAAGAAAATGAATATAGCTAAATTTAACATAATTTTTTTATGTAGGTAATATTTGTTTACCTTTTTTGTTTTTCAAATATAACTTTCAATTTTCAAAACATATTTATGCAAAGGAATAATTAATTCTCTTATTACCTAATTACATTTCATTAATCATTGAAATTCTAGAAATTCAAAAAATATAATAAAATATGGTAAATGTTAATAATAAAAAAAATACATTGTAATTTGTATATGGATTATATATAATTGTTAATTTATTCGACGCGTGTGTATGTTGCTTCTGTATGAAGATATATAGGCATTAATAGAATTATAATTTTAGAGAAACTAAGAAAAATAAAATTATTTAATTTATGGTTTTCAGGTGCGCCATACAAGGAGTAGATATGGAAAATTATACAGAACTATGGAATTCCACATCAGTATTAAGCGCTATACCACTAAATGAACATGGTAAATTTGATTCGTGTAAGATGTACGGAGAAAATAAAACTCTAGAAGAATGCAACTCTTGGGTGTATGACACTCAATTTTATTCATCATCTCGCGGAATTGAATGGGACCTAGTGTGCAGTAGGCGTTGGATGGGTGCCACAGCACAAACTGCCTATATGTTTGGTGTCGTTGTTGGATCACTGGTACTTGGTAGACTATCTGATAAATTTGGACGAAAATCGGCTTATGTATGGTCTGGTATTCTACAACTTATATTCGGTATTTCTGTAGCGTTCACCACAGAATATTATACATTTATTGTCATACGATTTCTATACGGAATCTTTGGATCAGGCTCATATATTGCTGGATTCGTTTTAACAATGGAACTAGTTGGATCAAGTAAGCGCACAATATGTGGTGTAGTTTTTCAAATTATGTTTGCGGTGGGTATTATGCTGTTGGCCGCTTGGGGATATCTCATAGACAATAGATTCTATTTACAAATCCTTTATGCTTTACACGCAGCAATATTGATTCCTCATTGGATTTTAATGGATGAGTCCCCGCGGTGGCTCTGGTCACAAGGCCGTGCACGTGAATCGGTATTTATTGTAGAAAAGGCTTTAAAAATGAACAGATCAAGCGAAACGTTAGACACAGCTGCATTAGTGTCACACTGTAAAGCGACATGTGCAAAATACACGGATGAAAGATCTGCTGGAACAATCGATCTCTTGAAAACACCAAATATGTTGAAGAAAACTCTGATAATTTGTGGTTGTTGGTTTGCTAATTCTGTAGTATATTATGGACTATCCCTTAACACGGGAAAACTGAATGGGAATCCCTACTTCATAATATTTTTAATGGGTATTGTGGAACTTCCGAGTTATGTTATAATAATGTACTTTTTAGATAGAGTCGGTCATCGGGCATTGATCAGTACTATGATGTTATTAGGTGGAATATCATGTTTAATAGTGGTTGCATTACCTCATGGATCTTCCTCTACCACTGGTGTAGTAATGGTAGGAAAACTTTTTATATCTGGTTCGTATTCTATTATATATAAATACTCGGCGGAACTTTTCCCCACTGTAGTTCGTAGTTCGGGTGTAGGACTTGGAAGTATGTGTGCCAGCATCTCAGGTGCACTTACTCCTCTAATTAGTCTGCTTGATACACTTAATCCTAAAATTCCTACAATTATATTTGGATTTTTGGCATTACTATCAGGATTTTCCACGTTCTTTTTGCCGGAAACAGTGGGCCGAAATCTCCCCCAATCTCTTGAGGATGGAGAAAAATTTGGAGTGGGTGATACGTGTTTCACAAATTGCAGCGGTCGACGAAAGAGTGATACTTCTGTTGATCTACCAGAAACAATGGTACCGTTGGAAATTATTGAAAAAAAATGAGAATGATGAACGTTACGTTATTTATCACGTTATAAATAACTGTACTGTATAATATATGTACTGTAACTGGCTTTCAACACTATAAATTCTTATCAGTACATACTAAATCCTTGATCTTGATGTCACATTGTGTTTGAATATCAACATAGCTTTTTTTATATATGTATTATGTATAGGTTATATACATAATACATATACCTACCGTAAGTGACGAACCGACCCATCTAATATTTAACGGTTACAATAACTCATGGACGCTTGAAACGTCTAAGAAGTTTTAGTGTGGATGATGCCTTCTTGATGTTGCATTCGCTAGTGAAAACTTTATTTTAATCACAGAAAGATAATATTCTTTAACTAATTTTATTTTTATTTTATTTATATATTACTGTGTAGATACACAGAAGCAAATTTCGTATACCTATTGTTACTGAATTTTTAACTCATCGGTTGTTTGTTTATTTTTATTATATATTAGTTAGCACCTAATATACATAGGTTGTAAATTGATAGACTTGCCAGATAATGTAAGTTATACATACGCCCAGTTTTTATATATTATCGTGATACTAGACAAATATAAATCTAGTCAGATTTTACTTACATAGTTTATTTTTTTATTTTCGCTGTTTTGCTGATTTATCCATAAATAGCATATAGATTATTATTAGATTGAAAATCTATATTTAAAACATAAATTCAATTTTAATATTTATTGTAACCTAGATACATATAGATACTTAAGTACCTAATATATTTGTGTAAAACGTATTGTGAATTAGATAACTATATTTCTTTTTACATTAATACATACGTGATGTAGATGGCACGACATACACATGACACCAAAATCAGGTGCAATACTCGTGTAATAGTCGGGAACGCCCTGGATCAATTCGTGGGTACCAAATCGGGGTCCATTTATCAAGTACCCTGCAAACTAATTTCACACTTATGACCTCTGTTGTAATATTTTAGTCTCGTATATAGGCAGTCTAATACTATAGAACTCATATACTGTATACTAATAATGCGAGATGATGGGTATTTAATAATTACCTACTTATTATTGTGTAGATTAGGGTACGAGGTGAATTCCATTGATACCTAGTCGATTCCCAAATAATTTACAATATACATACTTGCATTGAGACTGATACCAATGTAATCGAGCCTGATATTGTAAGTGAGTATGTAAATTATTATTTTCTCAATTATTTTAATATTTTACTAGTTTTAGAGTTTCTAATTATAGATACCTACATAATAATGCTATTAGTTTAATACAAATAACAAAAATCGTCATTCGGTATTTGGAGCATTGTATGAGTAGGTAGGTACCTACTTACCTGTCAATCAGCATCAAGGATGGCGTTATACCTAATTATAGCTAAAAATTATACCCATGCTCATTATTTCTTATAAATATAGTTATATTTAGTCATTCTTTTTAATGGGAATTTGGAACAAATATAAATATGTCATGGTAAAAATATTTGTTCCTCAATTATGAATACTTAGGTATTACGGACTAAGATATAAGATAAAAAACTAAGAATATAGTATTGTATTGTAATCTTAAATTATCATTTACCAATAATTAAATAGTCTCTAAAAGTGAATCTATATTCAGCCCTGTGTTGTATTAGGTATGAAATGCTTATGCTAAATTCACATAGTATAAAGCATCTTATTCGCCGCCATTGTCTTTACGTATCTATAGATCTTCTAAATCAACAGATTGTAATATAGTTTTCAACAATAGATAAAGTGCTTAAAAAGAAAGGTTTTTATATGCATATAAAAACCTCATAAAGTCAAGATATTCATATTTTTGTAATACAACTGTTAGAAGACAGGGCGGGTCACTAGAAATTTATTATGAACTTTATATTTAGAGTTTAACGTATGCTTTTATATTTGATAAAACATACGTCAAATCTAAATACAAAGTATATATGTATAATATATATCTAAATTATCTATATACCAAATAAAATAAAGCAATAGATAGGAACATACATTTAAATTTATAACCCTTCATACACAGATATCGTGACATAAACCCTGTGCATTAAATACAGTAACAAAATTAGGCAACATTAAAAATTATTGCTCTCTATACCTAGCTATAAGTTACTTAATATAGGTTATATGTTTTCAAATATCTCTGTAATAATAAGTTACATTTATTATTTTAAAGATAGCTATGAATAAATATCTGTTTAATACTTTAAAACTGACTACTTTGGCTATGGCCGTCTAGTAGCAGAACTAACTACTATTAATACCTCTACTAAAGAACCAAAAGTAATGCTTAAATAAATGTATCCTGTAACTAGTGATATATGTAAAAAGGAAAGAAAACACCCGTACATTTTTACCGCAATATACCTATGTATATATTTCTGAATGTTGGATTCGATTTATGCACCTTCAAAGAATGTGTAAATGAGGAGGTTCAATTAACATTAAAATTCAGAACAAACAAATCGTATAATTACTAAATCAGCAAAATAGCCACAAATAGTGACAACTATTATGTAATATAGTAAAATATAACTACATTTTAATTTAGTAAAATTCTTAAATAAATAAATATTTCGATAAAAACTCATGTTATTATTTTGTTCTCTTTTATATAGGCTTTATCCCAAACCTTTAACTACAAAACAAACTTTGTCCGTAAGATTAGATTTATTGTTACGTCGTCTTATCCTTGTGGTTATTACCCAATTTAAGCGGAAAGATCGGTAGTTCGTATCTGGCTGATTCTAACAATACCTTATCAATTTATATTTCTGAAATCTACAATGACAGATACACACTTACAGTGATAGTGGGGTAGTGGGCCTTCCATTTACTGTAATGTCCGCATGTCAAGTGTTGCATTTACAATCGCAGTGTGAATGTATTATATTATTTATTACAATAATAATAATATCTCAGGACAATTCACACAGCACCATCTAGTCGCGATCTGAAGAACTTGTGTTAACATTTTTTTTGGAAATACATACATACACTAGACCGATACAAACAATTAAACTCATGAATAGAAATGTTTGTGTCGTGTGAGGACTTGAATCCGCGACCAGCGGGAGTAAGTAAGGTGGTGTGCTAAACCGCTATAAAGAGGTCGCCACACAACATCTGGATATTATTTGTTAGGGTTGAATACACAGAGAAACCCATGGTATCATCAGGATTAGATAGCTTATCTAACAAATGACTGAATGAATATTTTAGACTGAAACTTTAAGAATTATACAACGTTTACTAGGTCAACTACGACTGTACCAATACTTACATATGATTTTGTTAGTACATTTAGATACCTAGATCGATTTTAACGATTCATATTACGTTGGGCGATTGTATATGTATATTCAGTCACTGGATTAGCAAATTATTACGTCAACGAATAAACAGAGTATTCAGTGAATTGAGAATGTTATAAACAATTATTATATAGATATCCTGTTTGTTTTAATTTAATTCGATTTTTTAGTAATATACACCATTGTCAGTATACGTAAAATTTAATATGCAGAAATGTCCAATTTACTTAAGTCCTAAAACTTACCTAAGATACTGCAGCACTCTGTAGCATTGACTATAGAAATAGAAATAATATTTATTAAAAAAAATATATATATATATTTTTTTTTTTTTAATACTAATTATATATATATATAATTAGTATAGTCATAGTTTTTTTATTATATCAGTTATTAGGAAGCAGACAAGAATATTGAGCAAGAAACTTGCATGTAGAAGCAACACGCTTCTATAATTAAAATTTACATTTCAAGCTCCTTAACAGAATTTACGTAAACTTAATGTTTGACTTTAGAGGATTGATAAAATCAACATGGTAGCTATAGATATCTCTATTCATTCATTCATACATTATGTAAAATATATTTCTGACAGTACCTAATTTCTTAAATTCACATGTGAAACTAATAATATATAAAATGTAAACTATTTCAGGTGCTGGATTGACGGAGTAGATACACAAGGCTCAACAGCAGCTTGGAATTCAACGGAAATTTTAGCAGCGATACCACAGTCACCAACCGGTGCCTTATCTAATTGTTACATATATGAAAACAATGAAACCACAGCCTGTTCTAAATGGGTTTATGATACAAAATACAGATCTTCATCTCGTGCTATGGAATGGAATTTAGTTTGCGATAAGAGATGGATGGGAGCACTAGCACAGACAGTTTATATGTTGGGAGTATTTACTGGAGCAGTAGTGTTAGGAGGAATGGCTGACAAATATGGAAGAAAAAAAATATTTTGTTGGTCGGCTGTATTGCAATTAATTTTTGGTGTAATCGTGGCCTTTATACCGGAATATTGGACCTTTTTGGTGATAAGATTTTTATACGGAATATTTGGGTCAGCCGGTTCATATATCACTGGCTTTGTATTAACTATGGAAATTGTTGGACCTAGTAAAAGAACTGTATGTGGAGTAGCATTTCAAGGGTTTTTTGCCGGTGGTATAATATTGGTTGCGGGATGGGGTGCTCTTATAGACAATAGACAAGTACTGCAAGTTATATATGGATTACATAGCCTTCTTCTAATTCCACATATTTGGATTATGGATGAATCGCCACGTTGGCTATGGGCTCAAGGTCGAGTAAAGGAATCCGTAGATATTGTTGAAAAGGCTTTGAAATGTAATAGATCTGAACACATTTTAGACAGAGCTGATTTAGTATCGAGAGGAAAAGTTGAAGTATCTAAAGGGACTGACGATACTTCTAAAGCTGGTACGATGGATCTGTTTAAAACACCTAATTTAAGAAAAAAGACGTTGAACGTGTGCTTTTCTTGGTTTGCTAATTCCATTGCCTACTATGGTCTTACATTAAGCACGGGTAAGCTGGAGGGAAACCCTTATCTGATCATCGCTATTATGGGTTTCGTAGAATTTCCAAGTTACGCCGCAGTTATGTATTTTCTTGACGTATGGGGTCGTCGACCTTTGATCAGCTCAATGATGTTGGTAGGGGGCACTGCGTGTGTAGTTGCAACTTTTCTTCCAGCTGGTAGCACAATATCAACGGGAATTGTGATTGCAGGAAAATTATTTATAGCTGGATCGTTTGCTATAATCTATAATTACTCAGCAGAATTATTTCCTACAGTTGTACGTAATTCTGCTATGGGCCTCGGGTCTATGTGCGCCAGATTATCAGGTGCATTAACACCTTTGATTTCTTTACTAGATTCGTTTAATCCTAAAATTCCGGCAGTAATATTTGGAATTGTAGCACTAATTTCTGGATTCTTATGTTTGTTTTTACCAGAAACTATGGATCAACCCATGCCTCAGACATTAGCTGATGGTGAAAACTTCGGGAAAGGAGATACATGTTTTAGTAGTTGCACCGGCAAAAAAAGAAATAAAACTTACACTGAAGAAGATAAAAACGCTGAATTAATGGTTCCATTAGAAGATATGAGTAAAAAAGTTTGAAAGATGTGTTTACAATTATTTGGAACTATACTAATTGTAGTAAATAGGTACCTATGAATAGGTATGCCTTAGTAGAGAAATTAATCTATAAAGACAAAATAGTATTATATAAATAGGAAGGTACTTTACATTAGATATTGACATTAAAATTGACGCTCTGTGGTCTTCAACATAAGGTCGAGATATACAGAACTATCTGTAACAAAAGAACCACCACATATTTCAATTGTCGAATCCCAATTAAGTCAAGAATGTATCGGTTACATAGTGATTTAATGTATACAAATATTCTTGTGATGTTTCTGAAATGTTGTTTTGAACTACTTGTATAATCATATCTAGTAGATATAAATGATGTCAATATTTGAATCAAATATCTATGTATTGTATTTACCAATGGTTCAATAATATTTACGTTCAGTGTATAACAAGTTGTAAAGTTATGTTACTTAGTTAAGTGCCTCATAAAGAGGTTAGGATTTAATTCTGGCAAGTTCCTACCAAAATAATACTAGTGGGTAATTGTATTTACCTACTGGACAAAACAAAGTGCTTTATAAATTGTGATTCAAAATTAGAGTATTCTGTTAGTTTATACAAATATATTCTGTAAATATGTGCTTATTAAGGAATATTAAAATTGACAAGAACATGTTCATTATTATGAAAACCTAATATGTTTAAACCGCTATAACAACAGCGTGCCTGTATGCTAATCTCTCAAAAAGAGTAAACAAGGAATTGTATCCCACATCTCAAAAGCATATGAACAACCACAGAACACGGAAGTAGGCTAACAAAAACGCGGATAAATCAATAGAAAATTTTGTCCTCTGAGGCAATATGTGAGTCTGAGCCGCAGGTATTTAATTATTGCAGGTACCTACTATTAACAATTGTAAATAAAAAGCAGCTTAAACTAAATATAATTTTATATTTACATCAAACAATAATTCAAAATCACAGTGAGATTAAAAAACACCGATATAATTTACATCCATTCATAATGAACATACAATAGATAATAGGCATATGCATAGATCAAGTCTTCTAATATCGTTTTGAAAATCAATAACTACATCTGCGTGAATTAACAATTTATCATCAGAAAATACATTCAATAAAAATATGGCAGATTAATGTAATTGGCTTGAATTGAAACTGGGATTACTGAATCGGTACTTCTACTTTTGCATTCTATAAAAATATAGCAGAACATTAGGTATTATCTCTAATACATTATAATACTGCTCATGTATTTTTATTCGTATCTGTAATGTGAAGTTACATATATATAGGTAATTTTAATTACAGAGTACATAAGTATTAATTCAAGATCAAGACATTTAATCACATTTAATTTTATATATAATTTCCTAACGGCTTAAAAAGTTTGAACAATTGTATTTATGATTTTAAATACTAAGCAGACTAATGAAGTGTCACAATTTGATATTTTTTGAGATAACGTGGGCTTAACTTTATCTACACTTCGGTTTATAATGAGCCAACTTAAACACAGTCGATACAAATTTAATTGGTATATACTTAAGTTTATCGATTAAATTGAATATTTAAGCGGTATTACCAAAGAGCGAGGTAAATATTCCAGTGCTAATAGACACAAATTCGTATATAAGAACAAAATAAACCAAGGTGTCGATGTCGGGTCAGTTCTATAGTGGGTTTGAATTTTATTTTTATATGGTAAGCTCAATAGTGGGAAAATTATAGTTTGATTGGTTACAATAATTATGATCATGATGATTAAAATAGAGTAGTGATGTTCATTATAGAATTTTTGTCATTTTTTTATGAATATAGGTGTCACTTGAATGTCAAATTCAGCCCATTCTGAAATATGTAGTGCAAAGTGGCTCTTTATTAGTATCTAAAACAAAAACGGGCTTCTAAAATATGTAAGGTAGGTACAATAATAAATATAGCTTATTCAAAATTTAAAACTAAAACAGTTAAAGACAAGTAACTGCACCCGATGTCACGATAAACATTAGTACCTAAGCCAGGGATGGAATGAGATCGCGAAAAAATTTTGTTAGATAGAATTATATTAAACCTATTTATAATCTTTTTATTTCTTACACAAACAAAATTAAAACCGATGAATTAAAAATATAATTAGAAAAGATCTTCAACAAAAATATAACTACTCCCATGAACTAAACTTTCTTGTAAATATTTATATTTTTTGTAATGAATTAATCTGCCCTCCCGACATGGTGGATTCAAATGTTCGTCAAATTAATCGGCTAATGAAATTGTGGCTACTTATGTAAAAGGCAAAATAATATCCATGTAGCTGTACTTTATATAGCTATTTTTACAAGTTTATAAGTTTTTCGTTAGGTACCCTGTATACAATTTCGATTTGGTATATTAATATATAGGAATATCTACACTACTAAAGGAATAGAAAATAAATAATGTGATCCCTCCAAAAATTAAGTACTATTTTGTTAAGCTAGGTAAATAATATGAATTGAGCACTTTCTAGTGATGTAGCTTATACATTACGCGCTTTGTATTATGATTTATTTTCATTCAATGTGAGTGACAATACTCTACCTACTTATGTATAAATTGATTTATCACTCAGCTCAATTTATAGAAAATAAATATTATTTTTATTACTCCTATGATGACCATAACCGCGCAGTGCTAATTATATACGTAAATAGGTTTAAATATTGAAGTTAAAGAAATTATTGAAAACTACCAATAAAATTGACATTACATTATAATTATTTACTATATATATATAAGTCGACATAATATAAAATACCTTCAGCGAAAACACCGAAACGAATCATTTTCTTAAATGCTATTCTTTAGAAATCATATTAATTACCGGCTGGTTTAGTGTGAAAATTTACATGAACTTGTTCACCATTTCCAGGGTAAGTACGCTTAGAAAATCACATTAAAAGACGTTTTGCATCGTGTAAATAGCATCGCACAACCAAACACATAGGTTTAAATTCATCCATATTTTCTTAGACGAAATTGGACTAGAAAGTAAAAAGACCACAGAAGAGGACAGAATAAAAGCTCATTTCGATTTCTCTAATCTCAAAAGTAATTTCGCTTTCGCCTAATGTCGCTTGTTGCAAAAATAATTTATATATTATTTACAGGTCAACATGTGATAAAACTTCACAATACAATATCACAAATTTCTAAAAAGGGTAGGATACCTTATTATAATGTACATTAAACAACAGAAATCAGTTACAAAAATTATTATTTTGGTGGATCTTTAAGGATCACTGTTTGGTATATTTTATATATTTATAGTTCTATAACTACTTGTTTTTCTTCATGCGTTTCTAACATTATCCCGTATGCAGATGATAGTACTAACTAGTAAGTAAATTGTTATACTGCAATATATGTTATTAATCTGTATGTACAATAAAAAATCAGCATATATTTTTAATTAATGATAAATGATAAATATGCGTAGACTTATAAACTCATACAGATGCACAGATTATTAATAAAGATTAGGATTATAATACGTAACTATAGATAAATGTCAGCATATTACATTTAAAGCAAATGTCAGTTTCTATGTTTGGCCCCTTCCTCATAGTCAAACTTTCTTCTTTTATGAGTCGAAGGATGTAGGTGGGTACTTTAAAATTTTAAGTTTAATCAAAATCAGTGGACTGAATTATGAGATAAGATTGAGTACTTATGTACGAGAATACGCATTCGAGGAAATATCAGCTTCTCATAAGAGCAGTCTTCTATATATACGCTGGAAACAGCAGAATATGATGAAACATATCTATACATATAAATAAAATTGGAGTGTCTGTTCGTAATATTGAAATAACCGTTTTGTCTGTCTGTCGGTCTGTTTGTTCCGGCTAATCTCTGAAATGGGTGGACCGATTTTGACGGGATTTTTTTTGCAGGTAGCTGATGTAATAAGGAGTAACTTCCAAAATTCCACGCGGACGAAGTCGCGGGAACAGCTAGTATTATATATAATTACCACCATTGTACATACCATATTCTGACAAATAAATATGTTAAGAATATTTCTCAATCTACACTATATTTAAATTAGTGTTTGCCAGGGTATGTAGGTTTGCAAAAAATGATTATGTATACATAACCTTTATAATAAAAAAAATAAGTCCTAAAAACTGTTGAATGCATAAAAATCTGATTGTAGCATGAGCTGCTGATTACAGGAAATGAAATAATAAGAGATAATTGGATATTGATGTCTTTCACAGCAAACATGATAGTGTGGTGCGATTGGTTGTCGCTTCAAATAAGTTTACATGGTATTTCTAAGAGTTACACTACTGACATTTATTTATTTCATTTGTCATAAGGTTTTAGTTGGGTTTATATATTGTGTATACTGTCTAGGTCTGAGCTCCATACATTCCATAAACATGCTGATTATTTATAAGTTATTTACATGAAAATACATGAATAAAATTTTATTAATAATGACTTATGTAGTTAACTGGTACAAATGTAAAGACAATACTCTATAAAATTGGTGTCCATAATATTTTATTAGTTTATGTATGTAATTGTTTCTTAACTATGCAATAAATAATATATTTAAAAACTTAAATTTATAATTTTAAATAGTATCAGAGTTCTGTTAATATAATTAGTTTGATGGTGATGTAAATTTTAGGCCTATCAAAGGCAAATTTTGAATTTGAACTCCTATGACTATAGTATACTACAATGTTAAATAAAAGTATTATGCATTTTGAATATTTTTAAAGATTTACAACCATAATCTAATACAACCATATCATAGTTAATTAGTCACATTTTATTGATATAGAGTTAGAAATGGATGTTCATTACATCCAACAATTAATTTTTAGAACATATATTGTTTACCAGAATAATGAAAACAATAAAATTTAAATACATTTTTAAATATTTAATACAAGAGAATGGTAATTGAGCAACCATAGATGTTTTATGCTAATACAATATTTTTTGATTAAACCAATGATCACTTAATGTACTCCAACATTATGGCTGATTAAAAATAATATGGATTACTGATGAAACCTATTTAAAATTATCCCACAGATGAAAGTGCTACCACAGCAGGTATCTGACCATTAAAAAATAACATTCATTTATATCACTATATTCTTATTAACACATAATCAAAGCTACTGCTTTTTAGTGCTGCAGGTATGACTGTGAATAAATTATTATATATATGTGTGTAACTTAGGTAGTTAAATCAGACGGACAATTAGGACATCATCATTATAAAAATAAAAATTAACTTAAGCAACATAAATATCCCTTTTAAGTTAAAATATAGCACCAATACAACTTTTATAATTTTTGTCAAAATATAGACTAGTAAGCAGAACCTACTAAAAAGCCTATGATTAAAATCTATAAAGTTAATATCCTGCTTGTTCATATTCTCCAACACAAATATACTTCACAATTTTTTAATGGATGTCTTTGGCATAATATATCACATGCCAGAATTGGCATATGAAATAAGGAGCATCCAGTTCAGTTGTAATTAATAAATTCACTAGATTCTTTAAAGGCATATCAATATTCTGGACAGCGAGTATGTGGAAGCGGACAGCCATGTTTAGGCACACTGTTCTCATTAGACAGTGCAGTATGGACTATTATAGCTGGCTGCGTTGGTGTTGGGGCATGAAGCTCATGACTCTCACCAGGAGCTAAACTTGCTAATGCAGCAAGAAGGTCATGATTAACTAAAGGCTCACCCTCTTCTCGAGGTTCCCATCCCACTGGAGGACTTGATGGTGGCGAGATAAGAAACTGTTTCACAGGAGCAGGAGGCCTCAAATTCTTAAACGATACTGGAGTCACAGGTTGTGCAAAGTAACAATTGATGCACGAATTATGAAATTGATATTGATGTAGTTGCACTCGCGCATTAGCAGCTGCTAAAGGGCTATCGTAATTCACACGCAAACGTTTAAAGCTACGAAGCCACTGAAATGTTATGTTATCAGAAAACGTACGAAATAGATTTTCCATATCTTGTTTTAATTTTTCATCGACAAATACATCGCTGTGGATGTTTGTGACAATAACAGACTTTGGTATATCATCGAAATCATCCACCTCATCCGGATCGTCACTTTCTTGTTCTAAATTCGCAATATTAGGGTGAATATTGGGCATGCCATCTTCTTGATTGATGTAAACGTCGTCTTCTTGGAATGGTTCTTCTTCCTCCTTCTGAGCCATTATGCAATAATGGTAATATATAAACAAATAACCTATTACTTATGGGATAATGACCAGAAAGTGCTATTAAAATATTGATACGTTAAAGAAAAATTGTTTATTAAATATAAATAGATTAATTAATTTTGATTCAAATATTAATCAAATCTGTACACAAAGTAAATATACATGATTACAGATAATAAAAAAGTTATTAATCTGTAATCAAGTCTTCTTTCTCTACGGTACGGGCAGTGTCGGTCAGGAATTCTATGCAGTTAATAAACTAAAATCACAAAGAATACATTAAAACCATAAAACAAAGCATTAAAGTTGAATTTTATTCACAATCTGTAAACTATGACAACAATTTAATTTATTCTGACTTAGTAATAATGATTTCTATCTCTTTTTATGGTTTACTTGAAGTATGATAATGACTTAATTTTTAGTGTCCACAGAATGTAAAATAATGTTAACTATATAAAATATCATAAATAAATGTAAGCATTTTAATGTAAATAGTTAAATTCGTTTTATTTATATAAATAGCATCAAATGTAGGTGTCATTCTTTATTCGAATTCTAGGAGTTATGAAAATATTATAAGGCTATAGTTTTATTTGCCAATCCTCCTGTTATTTTTTTTTTGAGATAGTTTAAGTTCATCTACTAATACAATTTAACTTCAAGTCAAATTTCCGTTAATTTTACAATAATGCAGTAGTATCTTCAAAAATCTATTATTGTATAATAATTAAATAAAATTGTAATATTGTATCAAGCAAGCTTATTACAGTGTATTAATAGTTTAAGTTCCATACACAGTATGTAAAATCTTTGTCCACATACCACATACACGTATCGTTTCTTTTCTGTGTTTAAATTAAAGAGCAAAGGGAACTGTGACCATACAGCCATCGGATCGACAGCTTGGCTGACAGCTAATTGACATTTTAACTCATAGTTTTTCTGTTCTAACTAACCTGTTATTCTGACAAATAAAAAACAGACAATTTCTAGAATCGAAACTATTGTATTGATTTGTTGTAAACTTAAAGTTCGAATTTAAATTTTCTTATTAATATTAAAATATTTCGTTTTGAAAATCTTTCATAAGGACTGTGTTTACATACTATTATATCATTTTAAGATAATGGAATCAATGGTAGTAGAAGAGATTAAACCTATAGAAAAACCCGTTGATAGAGAGAAGGTAAGCTATGTATCTATATTTCCAGAAAATATCAAATTAGAAATTTAGACATAAATAAATATGCTAATTTTGTCTCATACTTTTAAATAATCTATTTATTATATATATATTTTTAACCTACAGACTTGCCCACTGTTATTGCGGGTTTTTTGTTCAACCGGACGTCATAATTCTCCTGGTGACTACGCTAGAGGCAATGTTCCACAAAATGAGCTTCAAATATACACCTGGATGGATGCAACACTTCGTGAACTTACGGGACTTGTCAAAGAAGTTAACCCTGAGACTCGACGTAAAGGAACATACTTTGACTTTGCAATAGTATATCCTGATATGAGATCACCTACTTATCGCATGAGGGAAATTGGGGTAACATGCTCAGGACAGAGAGGAGCCGATGACAACAAAACTCTTTCTCAAGTCAAGTTTCAAATTGGCTATTACTTAGACATATCAATTACTCCACCAAATAGAATGCCTCCACCTATGAGACGCCCTCAGCCCTATAATAATAATCGTGTATACTAAGTCTGATAGGTAAAAAACTAGGTATTAGTGAATAAATACTTTAATACTTCAATACTTCTTTATTAACCACCAGTTTATGACATTTTTTTTCATATTAAAAGTGCCTTGGTAGTTTGTTACTCTGATGTAAACCCAAAGGTAGTAAAAACTATTGTGGTGTTATCTAAAATAGTTTTTACTTCAAAAATGTTTCTCAGTTTATATTTGTTCTAATAAAAATAACAAATTAAATGAAATAGAAAAGGGAGACACATTGCATTTAAATGTAATGGGCTCACATACATAATATATGTATGTGAGCCCATTACATTATAGATATACATATGTATAATGTTGCATTCACCCTTATATAAAAACATGACATTATCTGACTACCCCGTTTAAGCTAACAGTTATAAAGGTGCATTATTATTTTCATGTATCTAAACAATTTTGATGATTGTTGCAATACTGTATTAGTTAATTGAAGAGTTGCAATCTAGCTAAGGCTGAAGAATAAAAAGGTAAAATAAGACAATATTGTGATATTCATTTTTAATAAGTACTATATCTTTTATAAGGTAATATTTTTGTTGCCTCTATTATATAAAGTAGCTATGTGTAGGTACACCAATATGTACATCATGCCATTGGACTATGGAATGTTTGTAGATATGAATTAAAATTTATTTAATTTGATCATTGTTGTCCTTTATGAAAAGATACATTAGTTACTTATTTTCATTATAACTTCTTTTAGTCAAACTTAAAAAAAGGAGTTCTAAATTTTACTGTGTTTTCTATGTATGGTTTCTCAGAATTAAAGTAAATCGATAATGAAGAATATTGATCAAATAAAATTTTGTGCTTCCTATGTAATCCCATATAAATTTAATAACTGAGGAGTAGTTTATTTGTTAATGTTATTAATGTAATGAAGTTAGTATTTTCAATACCCAGCCTATTATTAATATATTGTTTTGTAATGTTAACAATTCTCTTTTTGGGTTTTTGTCTTTTCTAATAATAATAACAAACTAAACGAGCTCACTGTACCATTAGAATCAAATGTACCTACAATAAACAATCAAAATAAATATTACGAACTAATAAACGAAAAATTCCTATGTGGTTAATTTATATGAGGTAGAAGTAAGGGCGAGAGATATACTGGCGAAATCTCTCTATAATTGTATTGAATTGGCCAGGATGGCCCGTCTAGAACTGCAGTATGCTCTTAACTAGAAAGTGTATATAAAGCAGCACCATCTGGCTCCTACCAGATTTGGCTGGGCAAAAGAAACACGAGCGATGAAGGTGAGTTTTGACGTATAGCAAAGGGGCCTCATAATCTACACCTGGGTCATAAGTCACAGGAACTGCCCGAATTTTTCATCTCTGTCTTATGACGCGAAGAAGTCAGTCTCTCTTACTCAAGGACACCCATATTTAAAAACATAACGCACATAGAGAATATCCAATGCAAGCATACTAACGAATGTAATATTTTGTACCGTGCGAGGAATTGAACCCTTAGACCACTAAAGCCGTTGTTATTCATTGCTAGCAGTTTTAGTGTAATCTTCTTTTGAAATTAGATGAGTATATTCTGTATCAAAATTTGACGAATATATGTATAGAAGTGGTTAGTAGGTAACAGAATAAAATATATTAATATTTTAATTATTTTTTTTAATTTCACTTGCCCTCAATCGGTCAAACGATTGAGATGATATTGCGTCTAGGTATTTAACAAAACACTGATGCATCAATCACGACATAACTAAAACGTCCTTACAATTAGATTTTCCCTAAAATAAATATAAAATTACTTAATCCTAGTGATTTACAGGTGATCTGAATGGCCTTTTGGATTTCTTACCCATGGCAGCGAGATCAATTGTGATTCCATTAGGTAGTACAGCTTTATTTTCTTGATAATCTATGAAACCTTTTTCTTCTTGTTGTTCTTTGGTCTTATCGCAGGCAATGCCAGTTTCATAATTGTATTCGCGTTTTAAACCGTCTGGGTCAACATATCCGTATTTCCCACGTGTGATGCAATCAACTCCTATTGTCTCTTCTTTAAAAGTTCCATCGTCATTTTCAAAACCCCAAGTAATGCTTCCATCTTCGTTTTCGTCTCTGTATTTTCGAATAATTTGTGCAACAGGCTTCTTTTCTCGAGGGTTCGATGGGATGTATCTTTGAGGTGCGCTCTTTACAGGAGCACGGTTGATGGGTTCTTGTGGTCGTGTGTATTGTCTAATAGGCTGTATTTGTTCTTCTTCTTCGATAAATGGTTTCGGTTCTGGCCTGAATATAGGCCGTTGAGGTCTACTCGATAGGGGTTGCAGTCTTACTGGTTGGGGCTTAGGTGATTCATTTCTTATTGGGTTAAATGACTGTGGTACTAACAAAGGCCTATACTGTGTTGGCCTGATAGGCTCTGGTCTCGCGACTGACGGTGTTGACTGCGGGAATGGTGCTGGATTAAAAACAATCGGCGGTTTAGGTTGAGATGTTGTGGTTATAATATCAAAGAAGTCGTTCTGAGGCTCAGATGTTGAGAAAATATTGGGCGAAAATGCAGTGGGAGTATTGATTTCTAAATCCTCTTCAGGTTCTTCAGTGACAGGTTTGGAAGGTTCATCGAGTGACTGAAGACTAGGCCGTGGGGAAGCATCTACAGATTTAAATGACGGCCTTCCTTGAGGTCTCCTTATCCTTAGTCCAGGTACCGGCGCCTGTATTCTTCCTTGTCTGAAGCCTCCTTGTCTTGTAGGTCCGCCTACAGCAATTGCTCCGGGAATTTGCAGTCTCTGTGGCGTGGGTGAGTCATATTGCGCTAAAACTGTGACTGTGCACAGTATACATATCTGGAAGAGAAAAATATCATTACTGTAATATACAAGTCTTTCTACTCATAAATAGCTAAAACCGTTGTAAATCTGTCGGATTAGCGCACAATTTTAAATTCTAGATTAAAGTATATTTTTGATTGAGCAAAATGTATAATATTTTAGCATTGTAGAGTTGGTAAAGTCGCATGAATCGATACTTCTTTCTCACCTATTTCAGCTGCCAAGCAGCTTGCTTCGAAAGCTGTGTTTCCATTGAAGACTGAAATTATAAGATATGGAGGCATGACACTCCTTTTGAATGGTAACGCATGATTGCTATCACGGGCGTTACATGATACCCTGAGGACTGTTCTGTTCATGAGAACATATGTACTCATGAACAGGACTACAGTCATTATCTGTATATAAAGCCGACGGTTGCCAGTAGCGGGAAGGTCGTCAACTTACAGTATTAGCATAGTATATAGATACATTTAATTGTGTTACATCTATTAGGTTGTTCGGAAAGTAATTTCATTTTTTCCTAACTTAGGATTTAATTGTATTTTTTGCACTCAACTTCATACTTAAGCCGTATAATTTTTATATGCTTTGAGAGCTCATATAGCAAGGTTTGTGTGTGAAAAATTACAATTAATTCTACGCAGTAGTTTTTGGTTGGTGCCCGTTTAAATATAGAGAGGAATAAGCAGCATTTTCGCCATATTTTACTACAGTCATTATCTGTATATTAAGCCGACGGTTATCAGTAGCGGCAACGTCGTCAACTTACTATAATGGATATATAGAATATATGAACTATAAGTAATTAATATGAAGACAAGAAAGGGAATGTTCGTTGGTTTTATTCGTAATTATAGAACTACAATAAGAGACGTTATCGGCACAACATCATTACTTATTATAAAGTACCTACGAGCCTACAACCACTGGCATACATTAGAGAGTCGTAGGCCTTGTTCAATTAACTTGTTATTTAATACATACGTAAGTAGCCACCTATTCACGTTTATCATTATATTAAAGTAACAATTGTGTATTTTATTGTATACTTATTGTTAGCAGTTACCTCCAGATAGTCTATGTTCATTCTCATGAAACAATCTATCTTTCCGTAAAATTAGATTACTCCTGTTAAGGTTAAGTCAGACACACTTTGTTTTTGTTATAATAATAAAACTCGACAATTCACACAGCGCCATCTAATCGCAGACTAAGCAGATTTAGTATTATGGGTACTAAACAACTGCTAGACATAAATGCGATCTTTTGAAATGTATGGCATGCGAGGCGATTATCTTGCGAGGAATCGAACCCGTGGCCATCGGAAGTAAGGCGTTGTGCTAAACCGGTAGACCACTGAGGCCGTCTCTGTATTAGTATGGATTGTGTATTGGAAACCTTACTAAAACTACAATCACTTATGTTGCCTTTGCGAATTATTATACCTACTTATAAATCACCAATAACAGGTAAGACAACAACAAATAGACAATAAAATTAAGTTTAATTATTGGAGTTTCTAATCTATTAATCGTTGTAATTATTTTAATTAGATAAGACGATACAAAATTTTACTACTATGAATGTTACCTACAGGTAATTAACGCAATTACATTTATGCAAATAGTACTACACTTCAACGATTCTCTCTTCTCTTGATTGTATGCTTACAACAGTTGCAGTCAACAAATGATTAGTTTTCAGAAGAAAATATATAAAGAAAGATCTAAGCAGGCACGTGATAGATTTATGCCATGGTCAATAAATTTCATGTAATCTATCACGGAATTATTTGCTTAGTGAAATAACATTAAATGAACCTTTTGATATAAACAGTTATATGAATACACAAGTCTATATACGTATGCTTTTAAATCGTTAATTGTTGAAGTTTCCACTATTTTTTGGTATTACTAATAATGTAACTGAAAATTTAATTTACCTTTCCAACATTTAATCAATTATGAAATCATCAAGTTTCTAGAGCTAAAATTAATATATTCGGGCGTATTTGTAGGTAAATGTTTTTATAACTAGTTTTAGTAATATACCTAATTAAGGTATTTTTCTTATATACCAAAACAATAACACAAGTACCTATGGTCCATTCGTAAAAAGTACAGATATTGAACAACGTATGCAATTTATATAGTATTAGATTAGACGCCAACAATAATCGTCACACAGTTCCTAGAAAGCTTCCGGTCGACAGGGGTCGATCCTCTGGTCTGTCATGTCAGTCTACTATTACCTACCTTTCTAGAGCATTAGGCTTTTGTTTCCATTTTCTTCCGCTTTTTCTCTATTCGCTGGATATATAACTATTGACGAAGGAAATATATCGTGTTCATATGCAACTGATCGTAACAGCAATAATTAACCGAGTTGCCCGACTGATGATTAAGTAGATATATCTTTTCTTAGATAAAAACTTACGTAGTAACCAAATTAAAGTTAACGAAGTTTCTACTTTCGTTTTAATTAATAGATAAAATATTATTATTTATTATAAAAGAAATATTATTTCAGTAACGCTAGTAGACTTATTAAATTATCGACTTGTTAAATAAAATAGGTATAGGTATGACGATCACTAGATACCAGTGAAACTAAAAAGGACACCCGGAGGCAGGCTCACTATGCCATTCAGCTTCCGCAATTGAAGGTGATTGCAGCGCGGCTGGACAAGTGAAGTAGTAGTACCGGTTTTATAAAATGGAGCATTTATGTTGTTACTCTTAGTGAACGAAAAATTCCATCGAATATTCAATGTCAATGTAGTGGATATGTTATTTTTCTATTACTTATGTAATATCATATTATCTGTGCTATAGACATAGGCAAATTAGTCTTATCGAGAAAAATATTTAGTTAAGTTAGTATTAACAGAACTATTTTATTATATTGACTTCAATTTTCTATGGTTTAAACCATATTCTATTAATAGCAAGTTTCTGAAGTAGTGCATACCTGACACTAATTAAAATAGAAGTATCAAAGAGACCGAGAAAAGGCGAAGAATTGGTAGGGTAAGGTGACAAATAAGCAACTACAAAGTTGGTCAGTCAGAGCTCAAAGAGCCGGAAATCTGTAGGGGAATAAGGGATTAATTTAGGCGAACAAAACTCATTAGCAGAAACATTGATCTGAAGGTATACAATACAGATATTTGTGGATATCTTTAATTTTGATCTAGGATCTGATGTATAGACACCGTTACGTGTATTAATAACCACTTAGAGCTAGTAAATAATTAGTAGGTAAGTACAGGAACTTGTTACTTTTCATAATACGAAATATAAGTCTACCATTTACATTAACTTATGTAGTTGTTATTAATTATTCGCAAAGACAAATTAAGTATATATGGCCACAACATAATTATAACATAGTATAGAATTAATATTACGTGCAAGGTACCCGGTACTTGCGTAATGTATTGAGATAAAGAAAAGTTAGTAGGTAATTAAATATCTGATTGGTAATATAATAATAATCTGCTGATTTCTTTTACAGGAAAGAATGCAGGCTAAGGTCATTTGTAGTTATATCATAACAAAATAAGACAGTATTGATATGTCCGTAAGAAATCTATTAAAATTTAGCCAAAGACTAGAGGCAACTGTATGATTACCTACATTAATAATTATCAAAATCTTTAATAATATCCATCTAATTACACAATATAATAAATTAAGAACTTTCTCCACTATGGATGTGGTTGAAATATAGCAAATTATCATAGTTTTCCACTATCTAACTGTATAAAGTACTTATACAATTTCACATAAATTAATTTGTACATAATATGAATATGTTAAATATAAAGTACGTACGTAAAGTAAGTACCAAAAAAGGTTTCGTAACTTAATCAGTAATCCGTGTACGCCAACAAACAAATGTAAGCATAACATAATGGCGACAAGAGTCGTAGGCGGCGCGGCGCGTTGAAGTCTTTTGTAAGATATTAAACCAAAAGAACAATCGATACACTTTCAACTCGTATAGTCATTGAGTTACATGCTATGCAGTGACGTGTAATATAACCATATACGCTTTTAGTTCTACTTAAAGCACTTCTACAGTAACTACTATGTATAGTTTTGTATATATAAATATTATATCTTACGGAAACTATCCTATATACTATAAATATATATTATTAAAAATTTTCTCGAACATTCGTAATTGAATTAACAAATTATATTTTAGTACATTAAAAATAATTTATCTAAATCGATTAATTGTGTCATATATTATTTAATAATCGGACGAGTGCCCGGTAAAGCAGAGGACAGTTGTCCGGTAGTTTACCGTTAGATTTCTATAATTTTAACTTTCCAAACCTAACTTTGCACCCCGGTATCAGGAAAATCTGATTGTCATGAGATAATTTCACATATGAATCATACACATACAGACACATATTTAGGTAAATTATAAAAAACACTATATATATATATATATATATACAATATGTAGATACAATTAACACCTTGCATTTATCACATTATTTGTAGTCGGCGCAATATGTCCTCTTCATCCACTGATCCATATCAGCCATCACATCTGAGCTTACTTTCATTTTATACATATTTATAAAAAAATATCTCTTTTTGCTCGTTCTCTCCCTTTCCATTCATCCACTTTCATATTAAATACTTTAAGACATGGTCCTCGTTCCTCTGCATGTCCGTTATATATGTATACTAGCTACTCGCTCCGACTTTACACGGAGTGTGAGGGTGTGCGTGGTATTATATATGTAAACCTTCCTCTAGAATCACTCTATCTATTAAAAAAAAACTGCTTTAAAATCCGTTGCGTAGTTTTAAAGATTTAAGCATAAATGAGGACAAACAGCGACAGCGACTTTATTTTCAACTATGTAATGAAGAACACTAACACATATATCTAATTACATATTCACCACTATATGCTGTATTCCATCCGCAACATAACATTGATTCCACTTTCTCAGGCACACAAGTATACTCGATTAAAAAATAGAGTCCGTAATATATCGTAACGCCTAGAGTAAACGTTTCAATCAACGTAATCAATGCTGCAGTTGGTCATAATACATACATTTTATATTATTTAAACAAAGAGACAAGATGTTTTCGTTAAAATCATGTTTAGTTAATATTACACAAAATGCCCAATTAACAGGCGTAATAAGCGTTATTGACGAGTCATATAACTATAGTCATAATATAATTAGCATAAGTTAGAAACATGCTTGCACCAATTAATTAGGCGTCTGCTTATTGAATTGTAACAAATATATGTACTGGGTGTTATTATTCTATGCATATTTATGTAATATTACTACATGCAAACTGAAGAAAAAATATCACAATAGTGAATTGGAATTTGACCTACACCTAAGCTTAATGTCAATTCCAAACAATTCTCCTATCGCTGTCGGTAGGTGTACAATCAAGATTATAAATATAAAAGCATTATTTTTAAATTTTGACAGATATATTACGAGATAATAATGTAAATGTAACTTATTGAGTACTTAATCAGTAGAATTAGCTTAAACTTTTGTGCATTGCGTTATTTTTAATATATTTATCTATATTTAACGTGTATGATTGTTTAGATTAATTTATTCAATATATATCTTACATAATTATATAGGTTTAATATTTTTGTTTACTTTATATAATATATATATCTTGTATAGTTATTTATATGTATTAATAAATTTAAAACAATTCTCGCTAATACCACACAATGCTTTATGTTTATCTATACCCTAAGATTATCTGGGAGAGAATGTCATATGACATTAAGCTCGCCTGTTGTACAAAAGTGTTTTTTTCAATAAGGAATAACTAAATAAATATTAAAATCGATGCTGAACTAGCGATAATATTATGAAAATTAATACAGATAAGACTATTTTTTTTAAGACTGTGTGCCTGACGTAGGTTTAGAGAATAAAAAATTCTAGAAGTATATAACTTTACACGAATAATCCAATATAAAATTTCTCATAATCGTAGTCTTAATTCTACGTTATGTTAATAAGATTGTTATAATAACATTCACCGAAACATCCAATAAAATGTGTGTAGACAAATCAATAGAAAGACAGACAGTTAATTGCATGTCATTTTCTTGTGGGTTTGAACATCTCTCTCACAATCTTATAATTAAAGTAAATAATAAAGATTGAAGCAATAAATTTACTTAATAGAAAAAACTACCTGGAGATTATATTTCCTATTATTTGAAATCAAATTAATAACGTTAATGTCAAATTTAATTTTGAGCCAATAACGAAGTAATTTTATAAAGTTGCGAAGCAAAGTATGAAATTGGATACTTTTGTCTGAAATAAGTAAGTAATATATGAACACATATTTATTACATTCGTAATAAGTAACCTTGAAGAATATAAAGTATATAACTGCATTGCAAAGTGACGAAATTGTGTCATTTCTTTAAAATTTCAGTGTACACCTATTTGAAAAATATATATTATAATAAATAGAGTCTATGTACCAATACCGCTAATATCGATAATAATATAATGTTACCTTTGGTTTTGATATTATCTAACATGGCATAGAAATCAATATCATGTAGGTACATGTATTATAAAGAATTCCTTACTACATAAGATTACAGAAACATGCACATGTAAGGTTACATTACACTACATTACACAAGTCATCATATATTCTTCGTTTTACGATAATACTAAATGTTTATAAATTGATTGATGAATAAAATTGGTAACGTCTTAAGAAACTCACAAATTCAGGCAGTTATCAATTCAACAGATAAGTTGTATTGAAACGTAATATAATAGATAGGAGGAAAGAGGAAACGTAATATAATTTTCTTAGAAATAAATTAGATGTTACGGATATATTGCTTTACAAAATTGTAAACATCGTAGGCGTAAGCTTTCTAAAATATACTGTTATTAATCAAGTAAAATACGATTGTTATTCTGTTCCCACGAACTTGTTATCACTTTAAACTTGAAAGGAATTTCTGCAATTTATAGATCGGTGACAAAATTGGATTATGGGCGGGTCAGTTTACAAATCTTTTACTAAACCTGTATTCAGGTAGATACTGTTGAAATAATACAAGTTATGAGTACAGACATACTGTATACAATATCTATCTATTCGTAATAGTCTAAGCCAGTTGGTAATAACAGACCATAACGTAACTATTTGTCGGACTCGCGTGGTTTACGTAATTTACTAGTTAATATGACAACAAGTTACTTGCCAAATAATGCGTTCGCACTGAACAATTAGTTCCGCGTTATGAATTAAGAAGGGCAGCATTTTTTATGTGTGGAAAGGTTATCAACTACAAGATTTGTGTCTGCACTGAAATAACTTGTCAGCTCACGATCAATCCAAGGTTGACACGCGATACCAATACCTGCGTCTTTCTCGGTAGTGTGCTACGACCTGAATTCATTTTACTTAATATTTATATTGATCACTATGTAAGTGGTTACAACTACAGATAGGAATATATAGGCAAGGCATTTTATGTAAATATATGTATCAAATCAGATAATCTAACTTTCACAATAGTTACGTTACGTTTGTTTTCAACAGTGAGATTTATCATAGGTACGAGTACAAATTGCATTTTGTAAGTCAAGGCAAAATTAAAAATATAATGCAAAATTAAATTTTATTGTGTAAATTTAAATGAAACTTTCTTACGTTATTCATATAGTATATTATAACTTAAATATAATTACTTTTTATGTATTCCAAAATATATAACGAAATAGAAAATATTTAACTTTTATTAAATATATACTTATTTATGATAAGCAAACTATAAGAATTTATAATGGTTATTTTCGTGTGTTCAATGATTAATATTAAATAATGGTGAGCAAGACCAATTAATAATAAAATTGAATTATTTTAAATCAATGGAAGTTGATATGTTATCGTCCTTGATGGTACGTCACTACTTACCAGTAATATACGCATGTTGTTCCCTGGCACGTCACTGTCACGCCGAGTACCAACAACAAATAAAGGAACCACCTCCCGCGCAAGCTATATGAGGTCGCCCACTCTCGCCCTGCACCCGACGCGACTGCCATACCTTATTGCAAGGTAACCAACTACAATCGTACCCCACACCACACCCGCCCCACAATTAAATGCACTACCACACAATTTGGTTGCACTAACCGCGAAGATACCGCTAAACGAGCTATAGATAATTAATTAATATTCAATTGTTTTAGTTTTCGTATTCTGTAGGAATACATTCATGGCTATGATATAATGCAGAACATGGAAATAAAAAAAGAAGTACAGAATAATAATAATAATTTAAATATTCTTACCTACTAGGTAACCTACAACGTAACGCTAGTTAAGCAGCTTTTTTGTAATTACATACATAACATACAACTCATACCGATACAAATAATCGTACTCAGTGATATCAGAATTTAACCCGCGATCGGAAGTAAAGCGGGGTACTAAAGGATTAGACTACCGAACCCATCAAATATATTTTGTAATTTGTAGTATAATAATATAAATACAAATATGTGTCTATACGGTAATCGAATCCACGATCTTCCTAAGACATGCGTTGTGCTAAACCATCAGCCAATCGTGGCCATATTTAAAAAATAAGTTAACACAGTCACAGATTTGATAATTATTTCTCAACGTCACAGGATTCACAGGTGTCTTTGATACAGCTCGTAATTCAATATCAAGTGTAATTGTTAAGATCCCATTAACACTACAAAAGGATATGACGTAACACATCCGATCGCTCTCGTCACAGCCATGCATTGTATTAATACGATTTGTGATTCAATAGAAATGCTCACAGCATGCGATATGTCAGGTGTAGCAATAGCCTATACTTTGAAACTATAGCTGGTAATAACTTTACTGCATGGTACTAAACTATATATAGTTTTGGCTGTTAAGAATACGTCTATACGTCACATACACTATATCAATCTATGAATATAAATAATATTTTGTTAGTTACATAAAATTTCTAATATTGTTTCCATTTGTCTGTACGCCGATTAAATTAGTCAAATATTTGCATGTTAAAATCCAGCCAATTCAATATTCCTATTATAATTTTCATTTCATTTTGATTGTTTTTTGGAATTAAAAGTAAAAAGTGTAAAATTAAACCATTACTCAAAATTTTAAGTCCCATCTAACCGTTCGCCTGTAAGATTTGTAGATTTCGAAAAAGAATTAACTGAAATTTATAATTCCACTATAGATAACATATGCTAATTGTTTTTTAATACATTCTTAATAACTGTTTGAAACAAAAAGATAATATATATGCTATAACTGCAGAAGTATTATTATTTTACAGTTGGTTTCGTTCTAGTGTGGTTGCAGGATAATGCATTTGGGGTGTGTTACATCAGTCGTTTCGCCAGGTAACAGCAGTAGTCTGGTCACGCAGCCGCAAGAAAGTGTATCGGCAGCATCACAACACAAACGAGTGAGAGTTTTTGTAGATATAATAGTTCATTCCCCGCAATACTTCGCGCAAGGCAAACACCAATACTTATATTCAATACTTATATATATTCATAAAAACCGGCTTGTAACTTAAAAATAAAATACGACTTATTTTTTTAAGAGAGTCATACTTTAGAACTAAAGCATAAATTAACGCTTCAAAATTTTTATATGTCAAAGGCGAATTCATTTAATCAAATAGAACATACTTTTATTAGTATCGCTCTACCGTCTAGTTTGGTTAATAGTAATAACCACTTTGATTAGGTGTCGGTAAATCAAATAACTAGTTATATATTACATTTATTACTGTATAAAATATAAGACATAATCTACACTTTCTATGTCTATTCTCAGTACTAATGGCTTAGTTACAAGAACGGTCAGGACTTGTGCATAAGAAGTCCCGTTATTTGCCCTGTATTGCCTTTTCAATGGCTCGTTTCTGATTCGACACGTACTCTATTTGACACCACAATAGGACTCACTACAGGGTCATATTCATAGCAACTCAAAGTTAAAGTATGTATTGATGCCGATGCGGACTGTATCAGAGGTTAACGACCGGAAGCTAATTATGTCGCACTTAAAGGACAAATAATCAGCAACTGATGAAATTAAATAATTTTCTGAGGCAAGCAGTCGAACATTTCGTAAAGTTGTTTTCCAGAAATTGTTTATATCGGCGCTATAAAAAATTTACGCGTTTTTAATACAGTAACTATAATTATGACTGTAAATCTTGCGTGATCAACAGGCGTTCCGTGTGTAATAAATATAGGAAAGTTATGGTATATATGTATATCATATTCTAGGTGACTAGCCAAATATTGTCTTATCATATAAAGTATTTCTAAATACGGCTTTCCTTATATTTTTTTTCCTGGGGGTATAAACAATATAATTTCATAAAAATCAGTACTCATTGTAACACCAGATTTTGGAGAGAAAGAGGATTATTAGTAACGTGGACTGCTGCCTCCATTGCTAGCAATGCACCAAATCAGGTGGTTCTCCCTGGAAACCGTTATGATAATTTTTTGGTGAATTTATCACGATGGGCCTACTGACCTAACCTTATGCTTATTTTATCATCCTCCTAAACCGTTAGTGCAGGCGGATGCACCATATCATTATCATCCATTATAAAAAAAACAAGATTTTTAGACACTACGTTTTGTAACTATTACTAAAAATTAGTCATATGCTAGAACTCTAAATGGCCTCTAAATTTTGAACTTTAAACATGTAACATAAGTGTCTCAAAAGTTTAAATAGGTATATTAAAAAAGTCGATATTTTCTTTTTTTTAATAAATATTATTTTATCTGCTCATATGAAGTGGTATCAGATTTGGAATATTTTTAAGTGTCTATATGTTTGTTAAGTTTTCACAAATTAACTGCTGAACAGATATTAATATATATTTTTTTTGTATAATAATAATAATAAATATTCCCGGATAATTAATTTCATGGTAAACAGAGCTTGTGTTATGGCCACTAGACAACTGATATAAATACATACTTTTTTTTGTAAATACAGTCATAATATACATAGAAAACACCCAGACCGATACAAACAATCAAACTCATGAATACATATTTTTGTACCGTGCGAGGAATCGAACCCGCGACCAATGAGGCTGTATATAAAATGCAGAAGAAGTAGCAAGTAACATCTAGTATGCATCTATATTACCATATACTGTAAGTATAGAAGTTTACTTGATAGAATTTATTTTATTTTTGTGCTAAGTTATGCTGTAGGGCGAACAACAGAAGAATTGATATGCTAATCACGTATCTATGGCAGTGCGCTCTCGTCACCGTTACCGACATTTTGTAATGATGACCAAGGGAATGCACTAGACGAAGGTGTCAATGTACCCTGTAATTTAAAACAAAAAGACACAATATAGATAATTACTAATATTTATACTTACATTCGGTACATTGATACAGCTCAAAGAAAAACTAGATACTAATCAGGTGATGTCATTAACCAAATTATTCAAAACTAGTTTTTAAATTGATGAAATCTGTTGAAAGTGATTATTATTCTTCACCTATTATATGAAACAGTTTATTTAGTAACCTTCTTTTCAACCATTGTGACATATCACAATGGTTGAAAATAAGCATGCAGGTGGTACCACCTGGTGATAAACAGTGACTGCTGCTTACGGTCATAGAAATCCAACAAATCTTAACTTCTTACTTAAAATTTCTTATGTATATATGTTCTGACATAGGAAATTGAAATTGAAATTTCAAATACAATTTTTTTTTATTGTTTAGTACAGCTGTAAGCTATATTTACCGTTATCATTAAGTATTATGTCAACATAATAGTCAATAGCTTATCTAAGAAGTATATGATAATAAAGTTAAACAATATACCATAAAAAAACATTTAATTAGGTATTTCTGTTTATATTAGACAATTAGAAATGTTTATTATCGTTGTGAAATAACTAGATAATCGACAACAGGTTTACGATATTAAGTAGATATGATTATGAGTAATTTGTTTATTACAATTGCGCATTAACAACATTCTATATGTATTTCTCATAAATAAGTACGAAGCCTAAATATCCTCTATTAATTGTATCTTATCCTTAAAACATTCATACATTTAAAACTACTTATACTAAAATCTAATTGGGGACAAATTAAATAAGTTTTACTCTAAACATTTGATACATTATGATGCCCTTATATTAGTGGTTAAACTACACATACATTTAAAATATATACTGAAGTGTAAAGAGTTAGTAATCGCGTCCAATGATTTATACCACAGATAACATAATATTATACTCGTAGTTTGTGACATTATACACATGTTTTGAACGATGTAGATAAATGTATATATACTTTACTTGTAGATCCTAAAATTAATTTATAAACGTGAAATTTAATGCAATTTTAACCAAGATATCCAGTTTATTACAATCGCATTGCCCCCTGTTCAGATCTAGGTAAAATAAAGAGTAATAATTTTTGTTGAAATGATTAATCTATAAACTATTTACAATTTTTTGAAATAATGTTGTTTAGAATATTGAATTGAAAAATATAAAATTAAACCGTTTTCACAAATTATTTAAAAGTGAATTATCACTTAGTATAATATTGTATTATTGTAAAAATTGTGCGTATTAACGCAATAGGATATTTTATGAAATGGGTATTATACTTAATTATATATATTTTTAATCATTCCAAATTCCAGCCATATCGTTAAAGTATAACTAAAATATAAACGGGATTTTTCCACTTTCAGTGAGTTCATTATATCTATCAATATAATCTACATCTAATTTATACATATAAATAAAATTGGAGTGTCTGTTTGTAATATTGGAATTACCGTTTTTTACTACATGCATATGAATATAAATACGGTACATACACCATAAAAACACTTTTTAAAATTTTTGTCTATCTGTTTATCGGTCTGTTTGTTACGTCTAATGTCTGAAATGGCTGAACCGATTTTACGGGACTTTTTTTGACAGGTAGCTGATGTATTGACGAGTAACTTAAGCTACTTTTATTTTAGAAAAATCTATTATTTTAGAAAAATAAAGTTAAATTCCACGCGGACGAAGTCGCGGGAACAGCTAGTTATATATAATTACTTAATATTAAGTTTATATTAATAACATATAATATATATTAATAATTAGACACTTATAAAGATTTTGTGATAACGAACCAGCCGCGCACATTTAAATATACTTAAGATATACGTATACTATTTACAGAGCTTATATATATACATTCTAAAATTATTAAGTGACTTAGGTGGTAACATTTTTTTTAGTGTAAATACACAAATGCACTAAATATTGATCGTTTAACGATCGATTCACAAGATAGATAATTCTTCAGGTTCATAATGTTTTGTAACTACAACTACACTGAGCACTAAAATTATAACTTAATTAATATTGCAATGTTTTTTATTTAAATCTAGCGTATTGATATTGCAGAGTTGCACGTACTTTATTTACTCCACTGGCTAATATACCTCATATGGTAGCATTATACTTACCCCATATTTTATGGTAGAAATGAGTAAGAGGAAAGTACATAACTAATCCGTATCATATGAAATTCTCCCACTTAGATATAAATTGCATGTTTCTCCAACATTATCTATACAGACTGGTACTGAAATTACAACTGAAACGTATTACAAACAGATACATGTTTACACAGCTATCTTAATCTCTATTAAATTCGTTAAAATGTCTATGTCATTGTTAATTACTCAAATGTCATCCACATAATAAAATTATGGTAAATGTTGCGAGATGTATTAGCGCCCTCTATCGTCAGATACAGTGAATGTACCATTGCACGGCGGCGTGCTATCAAATGTGGGTCTGTAAAGAATAAAACATAGATCATCAGATGTAGTTATGAATGGAAACCATAGATGGCAATCGTTTTACATATTAGTATTTGGAATTTATTGAACAGATTTGGAATGAAATAAACTAACACAAAATATCACTCATCTATATAATAATTAATTAGCTATTTCGTATAATAATTTTGATGCTATCTGCGTATTTTATAATATAGACATTAATCGCCATTAGAATACAGTCTATACTTCTTTCCAGGAATTAAATACCTTTTCATCTCCTATTGCATGTATATTATAAAGATTACTGATATTTAACCCGAATATTAGATTTTATCACGTTATAATAAATATGGTAATAAATTTGTAGGGCTATTAATTGTCACTGATGATATCAAGGTTTTTTTAGAAAAACAACTACCAATCATTTAATAACGCTCTACCAATTTAGTAGGTATATGAAATCGCATGCAACGCTTATATGAAAACAATTCACTGATCGGCGTAAATTGTTTAAATATATTGATAGTACTTATGAAAATACTTACGTTATATTCTCAGTACAAGGCTCGGATACATTGGATCGTGCAGTGTCTGGTAGAACCAACACAATTGCCCCCCCAATCACGCTTAAAGCAGCAATTGTTACCATTGGCAGGTGATCGTTAATCGCCGTCTATAAAATATATAAGATGCGTTATTTTAATTTATACGCAATGATTATATAATATTAAAAATAACATCACTCTACACACACCTTGAATTCACAAAGTTTTAACTAAACAATGTCAAGTTACAATATTTTTTTAGCTTAACAACGCGCAAATTTTTAAATATGACTTTTCAAAAGGAACGCTTTGTGTTTTACTCAGAAATAAGAGCTATGTAATTAGAAGACATAAACAAGTGGAAGGGTCCCGAGTGTTGACAGAAAAATAATATACTAAGTACATGTAGGCACATATAATAGAATTTTCTATTCTATTCTAACGCTATAAATAAAAAAAATACTTTGATTTACTACTCGACGATTTTGTTAAATCGTCCATCATCATCAATCATCATAATTATCAAGCACGGTTCTGTGTAAGAGCAAGTAAGTCTTCTTATTGGGGCTATGCCCACCAAGGGTCTGAATTTGTGAGTAGGTACTCTACAACCATACGGACAATGGTTTGTTTAGTAAATAAAAAATATAAAATCAGGGTATCGACAAGCGACATCCTGACATACTTTATGTACTTACCAATTTCCATAAATACGGAATGCCAATTAATGCAAGACCAGCTGCTATTTGACTTGCACCAACACCCAAATTTCGGATCATAGTGGGATAAAGTTCAGCAGTAAAAATTGGCAGCATCATGTTCGTAGAGCCAATTGCAAACTTGCCAATAGTAAGGCAGACGATTACAATCCAATCTTCTTTTATAAATTCCGTAAACAGTTCGCTTGCAACGCACGCCAGACCACATACTAACATGCTGATAAAAATGGGAATTCGTCTACCAGCCTTTAGAAGTATTGGTATGCTCATAGCTATGGCTGGAATCTCGACGACAGCCAATATTATAGATGTAACGTGCAAGTTTCCCAAATTGAAGTTGCCGATATTTAACAAGAGCCCGTAGTATGCAATTGTCATCGCGAACCAAGCTACAAATAAGCAAACAGTTCTTTTCCGGAGATACCCTTTAAATAACAGCAATACGCTTGGCTCCTGATCTTGTAACTCTTGTTTATAGACCATAAGCATTTTATCTAAATCTGCTGGTATTTCAATTTTATTGAATTTAGCTGCTTTTATCAGTATAGTTTTTGCTTCTTGCGTTCTTCCCATACTTAGAAGCCATCTGGGTGACTCTGGTAATACAAACCTGAAAAAATTTACAATATATTTTTTATTGTATTTATATAAATTTTATATAACATGTCCATCCTTAGTGTTGCGTTATAGGATATCTTTAATATGTTAGTACCCTAATATTCATAAAATCCAGTATTTATCACCTGAACGACCAAGTAAAGTAGTTGCATTAAATTGTAATTTTTGATAATATTTAAGAAAAAATAAGATCGTTTTTTATTATCTTTATTACATAAGATCATTTGAAACCGAATTTACTAAGTTTTTTTTACAGTGAATATTCAAAGTGTATACATGTACCAGTATCTGTTACTCTGTTACTTACCATAAAACAAGAAGCACACAGCCAGGTATTGAAAGCGAGAGTGTTAAATCACGCCAGTTGGGTAACACTAACGATAATAGCGATACAATTATGTATGCTAGCGGCAATGGAAAAAAGTTGCATACTCCAGCAATCGTCACCCATTTTCCACCAACGATCTCTACAGATAATACAAACGCGGCATACACCACAGATACTGATACAAGACCCATCACCAGTCTCACAATAATATACTGCACGAAGGATCGAACCAACAGAGCTAGGATGGCTAATACGCTCTGTGTTACAGCCATACCCATAAGTATTCGTTTACGACCGAATCTGAAAAAGAAACAAAACAATTTTTAGTTATAATAAGTAACTAACTTAGATAGGTATGCATATAGAGATAAAGTCAGTAAAAAATATAAATTGATACATATATATTTTTTTATTATCAGCCAAGTTTAAAGTTTCGGCCTAACGACGTTTCCAAATAGACCGGAGTAGTTTACGTTCTCGTTTATTAATATTTTTTGCTATATATATAGAAAAAAAAATTATTTACAATAAGTTTTATTTATGTACTGATTAGGTTACATTGCATCTGTGACCTTGCGGTTGCTTACCATCTCTTTTAGAGTTACGTTCGTCATGATTTTTATACTTAGACAGATTAGGCTTGCAAATGATAATTTAATGAAGGCACCAACAGCTCATCGTCACAAATCGTCGTTAAATTGAAGTTTTAATAATCTTCTAATGTGTCTGCTTTCCGAATGAATGGTAGATTAAAAAAAGATAACTTTTCAAAAGCGCTTATATTCCTATATATAATATTTCTTCACTGTTATTATAATTAAGATATTATATTAGTTTATATGATTTATTATAATGTATTATGTTAGATGTGTATTGCAATTGATTTTAACTCGAGAACAGGCACAGGACACTTTTTATCTAAATTCACGCAGGCAAAACCGCAGCATACAGCTGGTATTCACATATTTGACTAGTTTGTACTATAATATCACCAGATATTGTATTTACTGTAGAACATATGGAACATAGTAGCATTTGTAAACACAATAGCAATGTTTTTACAATTATAAGCATTTGTATTTGTATATTTGTAAAAAAATTGTTTGCTCGTTAAGCTAATGGAACCGAACCTAGACTATATCTTATTCAATGTTTTTCCGTTATTTAATCCTAAAATAGGTACTCGCTCTATTTTCTAGCCAATTTATTCTTCGTCGATTGATTGTATGCTATTTAATTTTGAGTATATAAATGTTTGTCAGGAGTGCTAATAAGGAAAATCCACTTGTGTAAAGAGTTTGGCATGAATATAGTTATGTATATACCTACCTAGTTACATGTTAATTTACAACAACAATATTATAACATCACTTTGTATTTGAACAAATATTGTAATTATGGTTATGTCATTTGTATATTTTCTACGAAATGAGATATAATAATATCTTACCTATCTGAAATCCATCCACCCAGGACACCACCTATACCGACACCAACTAAAAAGAATACTTCGGCTAAGCTTGTCAGGTAAGCTCTGTCGCACACCAAGTTCCATTCTGATATTATTGTATCGCCCACTTCAGATCGATTGAAGTCCCAAGCATCGCATTGAGTGAAGTCGCCTTGGTCTGTTTGATTTATGGTATTTAAAATATACTCCAAAGTGATGTTTGGTGAAATAACACGAACATTACATGCATCCACAGGCTGACTGTATTTTATCCATATATCCAATGGTATATGTGATAGATTTTCAGGCCTTCGGCACCAAAATTGCGTCGTTTTTGCCTAGAAGAGTAAAAAACATATATTAACGGGAAATAAAAAAATACTTAAGTATTTAAAATATCGAAATTGGTACCTTATTTATACAAAGTATCGTACCCAGCACTGAGATACAATGGACGTCAATAAATATTTCTTCTTTCAATTCCCAACATACCTACTTGTGTTTGTTTAAAACTAACATTGTTCAATTTAGTTACAAAGGTATCTCTATAGAATCTAAATTTGGGCAACATATATTGTTTCGGTGTAAATAGAATAAATCAAGTATGTATCTACATGCCATTTACGAACAACGAGTAACGTGTTATGATTTAAACGCTTGCCATATTGTTATTTTTTTTTCTATTAAGAAAAAGATGTAACATAAATGGTAGAAATTAATGCTGTGCTCTAAAGATTGGAAAAAAATGTAAAAAAAATATTTTTTTAATATATCTGAAAGATTGTGAAAGTAATATTTTAGAGAATGTACTTAAAAAAACAGTCGGCCTTAATTAAATGGCTTAAAATTAAATTATCGTAATCACATTATTATCTTACTATTCAGTATGAATTTCTAGTATTTTTTGCTTTACAGACGTTGAAAAGGATTAAGGACTTTCTTACTGTACCGCACGAATAATATAAAATGATAGGTACCTACAAAATAATAAATTTAGCATTACTTACGGTAAATGTTGGTAGGTAGATGTGAAAAGTACAAGGAAACGAGAACATAGCTAACAAAAATGTGATGAGAAGTTGCCAACGTCCGTAGTTGCCTATAACCGAACTCACGACATCGGTTTGCTCATCCTCTGACACTGCTGGCGGGGGTCGAGATTTTTCTATATTTGTAGTTTGACTGGGTATAACTGAAAAATTTAAAAAAATCGACGTTAACGATTTTACAAAAAATCAATATTTATATAAAAGAAAACAAATCTTTACCGAATATAAAAAAAAAACATAATAAAGAAAATATTGTTCATTTAATTAATAATCTTATATATAAAATTCTCATGTCACAGTTTTCGTTCCCATACTCCTCCGAAACGGCTTGACCGATTCTCATGAAATTTTGTGAGCGTATTGAGTAGGTCTGAGAATCGCCCAACATCTATTTTTCATCCCCCTAAATGTTAGGGGTAGTCCACCCCTAAAATTTTTTTTTATTTTAAGGCAAAAATATGTTTGCCGGGACAGCTAGTATAGTTCTAAATTTAATTTATTCTTCCATATGAGTATGTACTAGGTAGTGGTACTAGGAATGTCAATCAGTGTTATGATAAAAATAAGTGGAAGTGCATTATCTTCCTTATTATATAGTATAAAACAAAGACGCTGTCGCTGTCTGTCCGTCCCCTATGTATGCTTAAATCCTTAAATCTACGCAACGGATTTTGAAGCACTTTTTTTAATAGAGTGCGAAGGCGAAGCCGGGGCAAGGAAGTAATTTATTAATATTCGAACATTCATGTTTCAGATGAGTTCAAATAAACAACACAGAAATAAATTAACCTAGAAAACAACATATTACTATTATTATACATTGATAATATTATAAGCATATATACAGAAAGAAATCTGATAATAAGGAACTCAAGACGAAATGTGCATCGACACTAAATAATGTACGCGGGACGGAAGATCACAGTGTATAGGTATAAAAAACTGTACATTAATGTATTTATATACTAATATAATCTCTATAATAAAATATAATTAATATTTTTAAGTTCCCAATATTGCGTAGTCATCAAACACTATTTTTATATAGTATATAGTATGTTTTTATGTTTTAGGTGGTATCTATTGAGGCGAATACGAATTCATTACTTGATCTACGAATAATGATTTGATTAATGAATAAAGCATGAATATACTTATATTCTACAACCATTAGTGAGATACAGTCTACGTATAATTTGAGACTTTGAATATCGAATATTTAATTTTTCAATCTATAGGATTGCAATATTATAAAATGGTAGCCGTTATTTAATCCTAAATAATTTATATTCATCATAAATATCGGTGCAGTACTTATGATGAATATAAATTAATAAATTAATGGAACTATAATGAAACTTCAATTTAAAGTAATTAATAATAAATAAGTATTAAAAGATAATCTCGATAATTTCAAGTATGACAATAACAATAGTTAAGTACCTACTTCGTTATTGATTATAATATAAGTTATTATTCCATTTGATAATATTGCGGAAAAATCAGGAAAAAGTAAAAGTTTGTCTTCATTTTTCTTAGTGATTTATTGTATTGATGTGAAGTAGCATTTCGGACCATACATTAACTGTGTTATCAGTTCCTAATCTTTTTGAAGGACTAAGTATATAAGGTGATTTTTACTATTATTAATAGTAAAAACTTAGAATGGACTACTTAAGTACTTATAAATATGTATTACGATTTAATTTTAATAAGTTATCAATTACTTTTTCATTACTTGTCTAGTGTAATATAATGTAATTGTGCAAAATAACTAGCCCGAAACAGTTCCGTAATTTAATTCAAATTAACAATATGTATATAGTCAAATGCGTAACAAGTATAATTTTCTACTAAATATGACAGCAGTATGTTTTGACACATGCCAATCATATTTATTTCGGAGTATTTTGTAATACGAAACTACAGTATAAAATTTTGTATGGATACCAGTAGTTAAATAACTATATAACTATATTATAAATGGTACTTTGATATATGAGTTTGTATTCAAATATCAATTTTCTTTTAGCGTTATTATATATTCAATCCTACACAAAATTAGACAAAAGCTTTTCCTATTATTTTTAATTTGTGAGCTTTAACTACGACCTTTGTAATATGAGTCTGTGAAAATATATTATATTTTTATAAGTTATTAACTTACTTTTTAGGAGGGTAGAAAGTGAAAGCCTACTGTTTTTAGCCTATGGTATTATTTTTATTTTAAATGTTTCTTACTTTTAATAGCTTAAATAGTGTTTAGTGCAGACGAATTATTCTTTGAGGTCTCTGTATTTGGCAAGCGTGATAAAGCAACTATTTCCCTCTTCATTATAAAGACGTGACTTCAAAGATCTTTGTATGATATGTGTTGAGTAGAATATTAAATAGGGCATTAGTTCAATTCGGATTGTTATGACTGCTTAATACAATTACATTATACTGATCATATAATAATAATTCACAACAATTTATAGTGCCATCTAATCCCAATCTAAGCAGAGCCTGTGTTACAGGTGCTAGATATGTGAAACATATACTTTTTATTTAGAATGCATACGTAATGTACACATTACAATACACACACGACTCAAACCAACATAAATACTCATACTTATGAATACAAATTTCTGTAACATGCCAGAAATCAAACTCGCGGTCATAGGAAGTAAGGCGGAATACTAAACAATAAGTACTGAAGTATTTTAATTAACAACATATATCCAGAGCGTGTATTCATTTGTGGGTTGACATTTAACATTAAATCTGTTGCAATCACCGTGAGTGTTATGATTAATTTATAAGTGTACCACTATTTGCGTGTGCCACGTGCTCCCAAGCATTTCGCGGCCACTGAGTGCGCCTAACAATTTATTAACCAACAACATGTGCCCGCCACGGCGCCTTGACAATGATCTTCATTGCAGCGATAATGACCTACGTAATCAGTGTTGTATATTCTTCCATTCGTTCGTAGTGCCCCTTCGCATTCTATTTGCATTAATAAACAGTTAACTTCATAAGTTGTACAGATGAATTTGTGACCGTTTGCACTAAATTCTATTACGTGACTTGCTTCAGTATTAAAGTAAGTGTAACTTAATGATAAAGAATGTTATACATTTGGTTTTATGCACTTTGTAAAAAATAAACAATAATAAATGTCACATATCGTATAGCGCTATCTAATTCCAAACTAAGTAGAGCTTGTTCTATGGTTATTACGGTTACTAGAAAACTTAAATATATATTGGTATTTAAATAGTTTTTTAAATATGTAGTAAATCATCCAGATTAATGCAATTTATGTTTAGGCAAAATTTTAGAAGGTAACATAAGACTAATACAGAAAGGCCATATTGGCCATTATTGGCCTAAAAACGAGTGTTTGGCACAATTTAACAAGTATGTCATTGATGCGATGTAACAATAATTATTTGATTTTCAATTTATATACCATATCACCATAATGAGGTTTAATAAAAGAGATTAGTTATAAACACAAGTAAAGCAATAAATGTTATTCGGCAAGTCGACAAGTGGCCACAGAATATAACGCAGTAAGTAGATTGTTGATTACTGGACCTCCTGTTATTGTAAACATGTGATGACAATAGCATCATAACAGCACAGTAGATCCTATAATGGATAAATGAATAACGTTTTGGTTTAAAAATAAGAACAGTAATTCAAAGGTGTAATATAAAATAAGAAATGGAAAAATCACCAATATCAAATAAAGAAGTGAATATTCAGTTGTCTCAATAGATTGAGTTATTTATGATAATTTTATTAACAATACTATTACAATAACAATACTATCTTATATACGTGATATAGAGAGCATCATCTGTCCCGACATAATTCTTCATCTTATGAATAGACGGACTGCATTTGGGGCCAAGGCTGGAGGGCATATCGATTACAGTGATCGCGATTTGCATGGTTGGTTTAATATAACCCGAACAATTGCTTCATAGGTATATATCACACAGGTTGATACTTTAGAGGAAACTACCAACCTCGACGTATTATGTTAAATTAATAGCCACTTTCAATATCACACAGCATATTATTATATTGCCTAAGCTTACTTTGTAGCTCTATTTTAAGATTTCTATACTGAAAATATCAACATATTTATGATGTTTTTTATTAAGCATGAATGTTAAACGAGTTCAACGGCTCACCTGACCGAAAGTGGCTACTGTGAATAGTTACGGATAAGTTGTCATGAGTTTATATTACTGAGCTCGAATTCTGTCCAAATAGTTTTGAAGTTCCAAGTAATTTAGTAGGATTAAAAATATATGAGAAGATACTAATGACAAAAGTATACATGAATATCACCACGTCCTCTATGAAATAACAGAAAGTTATTTAAAGTATTTGCTTGTGTGTATTTGTCATTTGGAAGTACCTAATTGTACATTGCGTAATAATTGTACAACTGAAATTATACACAGGCCTATATTTAATTACTACAAAAATGATTGCATGATTACCAAACTATTTTTACAGATATACATATATATAATAATTTAAGTGCCAATTCTTTCTTTTTTGTCCACATTTTATCTATTTGACAATGACCTGCTTTCGATTTCTAATCTAAGTATTTCTCAAGAATAATTTAGAATATGGGTCTTTTAAAGTGGCTATTATTTCTTTAACTATATCTAATTTTAGACACACTTATACCACTACCTATATATTTCGTTGTTCGGTATAAATGGATTTAATAGTAGGTACCAACTTGAACATATTTCCAAACAAAACATACCTACCTACTTATTTTATGTCTCGTAAAAAGATACATTAATTTCATTTGCCTTAGAAACAGTAAGTCATGAACAGTACCTATCGGATTATTTAATCAATTGCATATAATAACAAAAAAGTAATCAATTAAAGTACTCGGACCTACATAGATCGCTTCACGGGAGTGCTTTTTTGTTTCCTGATTAAGTACATAAAAAAATGTTGCAATCATCAAATTTTCCACTCCGTTCATCGCAGTATTAGAGATGTCATAACCCTAGTTAGTGACCTGTTAAATTGAGTTTTACAGTGTCTACGTAGGACTGTCAAGGCGTTTATCTGAGGAGAATATAATGCAACATCCGGACACGTGAACATG